TCATCTCACCCAGGAAGTAAAGGGCAAAATATTACAGGGTAAACAAATCCCACCCTGTATTTAGTTCCAACTCCTCGATGTACTATGGCTGGAAAACTGACAAGGCCTTCCTGACAGTGTGGATGAGCATTGCCCAAATCTGCAGCATCGAACAGCACAGCTGTAGGGAGCTCCTTCTCTGCCAGGCCCACTGCAGCAATTTTGTTTCATAATCACAGAGATGGAAACTGAGGCAAAGGTCAGCCAACACTTTCAAAAGCCTCTTGAATGCATATCTAGGAAGTTCCTTCCCTGGTTGGTTCTTATCCACAGCCTGTGCTGAGGAGCCACCCTCTTTCATTCCAGCCCAGCTGTTCCAGAAGTTGTGATGCACATTCCACAAACTGAGCACTGCATGTTTCCGCTTCCTGAGGGGAAAACAGAAGACTGAGGAGGTAGGACAGGACCCAACATATAATTGGCTTTTATTGCACATGTCAAATGTCAGTTTCCCCACTCTGCTGTCTATCTCGTAAATGATTTTTTCACTGTGAAGTATCCAGCACAGGACCTAATGCTTACAAGGGCTGCGTTCCTGAGCTGCATCTTTCTGTAGAACTGCCATGCTTCCCCCGACTCAATTACACTTGACTTGGATCTGTTCCTATTTCTCCCACCTGTGGAAGAGGCAGGGTCATTCTCATTACGGAGTGGCTATGTCTGCTCTGAGCTGCCTCCACACCCTACTGTGGTTTCCTATTAGAATTCAAGTGGCAAAAGATACTGAAGTTCTCCAAGATGATGCCATCAGAAGCCTCAGATCTACCTTTGACCTCATTTTTCCTGATCCCTGGTGTCTCTGCACTGTACCCCAGTCTCCCACATTTTACCATCTCTGGCTCGTGCTCACCTGGGGCGAACTGTCTCATTAATTAGCATATCCAATCCTTCTAGCACAGCCTGAAGGATCTTTAGGTCTTTAGTCTTCATCAGGGCTCCAAGAGGAAGACAGGGGAAGAGCCAAGCCTGACCATTGCCCTCAGGAAGTCAGTTTGTCTCCTGGTGAAGGCCTCCTTGAACAGTGAGTGGGGCCTGGCTGCTCATCCTCCTCCTAGAGGAACAAGCAGAAGGATCTTGAGGAAACATCCAAGAGAGAACATATTTTCATGGAAGGCTTAGGAAGCCCTTCTTCACTTCTACACAGGAACCAACTCTGGGTCAGAGTCACCACTCTGGAAATGGTGGAGACCTCAGTTTACCCATACCACAACCACTGGTGGACCCAAAGGCATAGCTCCCCTCACTTGCAGCATGGGGGTGCTCTCTTAAGCATCCACCTGAGCAAACATTCACCATTCTCCATTCGCTTCGAAGAAATGTTCCTCCAGTGAGAATCAAATTCTCACTATGAAGGGGGTAGCATGGAGCCACATCCCATTATGGGACTAGAACACTGATCATCTCTCACACCTTGAGGGAAAAGCAATAAAAATGTTCCATGCTCAACCCAACCACATTCTGCTATTAATGAACTGAACCTGACTTGCAGAAATTCTAAAGAGCATCTATGAAATGGGTTTCATTACTTGTTCCTTTCGAAAGCCTTGGAGCCTGGTAAGGGGTACTGAGGTAGATCATTCCATTTTGAAGAATCAGTCAGGTCTGTAAGCCATGCTTGCCTCTCTACACAAATAGACATTGTCTCAAATGGGAAACCAAAAGGAAACTAGTAAACTTCATAAGATTGCAAAGCTCTGTGACTGTACACAGAGCATCAGGAAAGATGGTAACTGAGGTGGAGCCCCTGAAGCACAGATGAGACTTGTAGGAGGATTTCCCAGGTAGCATTGCAGCCTGTGGGGAGAAATTTATGAAGAAAAACCATCTAGTATACTTTTAACTTTTTGTTTCCTTTCTGAAAAGTAAACAGCCTGCAGTCCAGCTGGAGTGGTGTGACCAATGGTGCCAGGGCAGGCCTGGATGGAACTCATCGTGTAGCCAAGGCTTTCCTGGAGCTCACCATCTTCCTGCCTGTCCTCAGGAGTCTCAGAATTGCATGTTTCAGCTGCCAGACCTTACTAAAGCACTCTTCATTTTCAAATATTTATATTATTTAAAAATTATGTATATATGTCTTTGCAGGTGAAATGAGTTCAGGTGCCACAGATGTTAGGAGAGGCCATTGGATCCAGTGAAGCTGGAGTTTCAGGCAGTCATAAGTCACAAGGCTTTGCTTCTGGGAACCAAATGTGAGTCCTATGAAAGACCAGTGTGCATTCTTTCTTTGGGGGGGGGCTATTTTTTTTTTTGAGAGAAGGTCTCCCTGTAGCCCCAGCTGGCCTTAACCTGTGAGCCATCTCTGCAACAACGTTCTTTTCTTTTCTTTTTTTTTTTGGTCTTTTTGAGACAGGGTCTCCCTGTAGCCCCAGCTGTCCTGGAATTCTCTATGTAGACCAGGCTGGCCTTAAACGCACAGAGATCTGCCTGCCTCTGCCACCTGAGTGTGGGATTAAAGGCATGTGCCACACCTGGCTCAAGATTCTACTTTTCAAATATTACATAGGTGCCATGTATACATGTTGGAAGCAGGGAAATGAAGATTCCAGGTTGTCTTGTCTATAGCAATTTTTAGGCAAGTCCAGGTTGGGGCGAGGGTCTCAAAAACTTCAAACAAACACTGAAGGTAGATGGAATGTTAACGCTCTTTGTATTTGAGGCCAAGTCATTTGGTTCTGAGGTTTGATCAAGGCCTGGACATGTTGGACAAGTGCTCTACCACTGAGCCACACTCTTAGCTCATCTCTTTGATTTCATTTTATGTTGAAACAAGCCCTCACTATGTAGCCCATGCTAGTCAACCTAGGGATCTTCTTCCCTTAACCTCACTAGTACCAGGCTTCCAGGACTGTGCTCCTGGCCCACCTGGTTCTCTTTATTTTCATTAGAGACAAGATCTTGCCAAATTGACCAGGATGAATCATTTACATTTCTAGGAACTCAGTCCCCAGATTCTATGAGACTTGTGTCCTGTGTATCAAAATCCTTCCTCAGTACAGTTTAATATATAGTTTAAAGGACAATTGAGGTAAAAAGTCACAGAACATAGCTTATGAAGTTTAACTTAAGAGCTTCTGAACTAGTTAAATTAACTTAAGTCAAAATCCATCATGTAGGGAGAAGGTTGCATAAAGTTGGAGTTCAAGGCCTGCCTGGGCTACATGACCCTGTCTCAATATAACCAACCAAAGAAAAAAATAAATTGTAGTTCAATGGGCATTTCTTATTAAAACCAAACTAAACCTAAGACAAAGAAACAAGCAAAAGCCTCAAACTTCCTTTTTAAGAACTGTTAAAGCTATGGTCTTTAGATGTAGCTAAATTGGTTAGAGTGCTTGAATAGCATACAAAGGGCCCTAGGCTCCTATGGAGTACCTCCTAAACCTTTTATTGTGGCAAACACATTTAATCCCAGCACTAATAAGGTAGAAATAATAGGATCATCTGTTAAAGGTCACCCTTGACCTACATATTGAGGTCGAGGCCGATCTGGGCTGTAGGAGACCATGCCTTAAAAGAAAGAAAGAAAGAGAGAAAGAAAGAAAGAAAGAAAGAAAGAAAGAAAGAAAGAAAGAAAGAAAGAAAGAAAGAAAGAAAGAAAAAAAAGAAGAGGCAAACAGAAAAAATAACTAAAAATTTTAAAACAGATATAGTGGACCAGGCCTGAACCTTCAATCCTAGCTCTTGGGAGGTGGAAGGAGGATCAAGAGATCAAGGCCAGCTTCAGATACATTGTGAGTTCAAGACTAACCTTGGCTACATGAGACTCCAGCTCAAATAAATTAAAATTTTTTAAATGAAGAAAACTTGATTCATTACATCAATATAACACAAATAATTGGGAAGTTGGGACAAGAAGAGCATTAGTTCAAGGGCATACTCAGTTACATGAGTCAGCACGATCTACATTTTGCCCTATCTCCAAAAAGTAAGAGAAAAAAATTAAAAATAAGACCTAACCTGTGAGTCAGGGTTAATTCTAACCCCCAGGAAAATGCAACAAGTAGGCTCCTACAATGTTGAGGCCATTCTGGGCTAGAGAATGAGGTCGTATCTGAAAAAGCAAAGAAAAAGAAATTTAAATGACATGAACCAAAGCAGAAATCAAGATATTGGAGTAACATCCTGTCTCTCAAAAGTAACTAACAAAGGAGCCTGGTGTGGTAGCCCACAGCTTTAAATGTCCCCTTTGGGAGCCAGAGGCAGGCAGAACTCTGTGAGATCAAGGCCATAGTGAATTCTAGGCCAGCTGTGGCTACAGGGAAAACCCATCTCAAAAAGACCAAAATAGAAATAATTTAATTAAAAGTAAAATAAAAGTCACCCTGGGCTACAGAGTGAGACCATATCTAAAAAAGCAAACAAACAAAAAGATTAAGAATGTGAATCAGAGAACGGTGGAACGTGATAGAAATCCCAGCACTCAGGAGGCAGAGGCAGCAGGATCTGGATTTCCAGTACAGCCTGAGTTACATGGCTAGCATGGGCAGCAGAGTGAGGCCTTATCTAAAAATATTTAAAAAGAAAGAAAGAAAGAAATCACAAACTAATATAGAAAAGAAGGCATTTAAGATGAAAAGGCAGCATTTAAGGGGGGGAAAAAAAAAACCCCAACATTCCAATCTGTGACTCTGAAGAGAAATCAGAACTTCCTATTTAACGTCCCTGGATCAAATGACGTGCGCTAACGGAGGTGAGTGACTTACCAGTTCTGATCTCTGAGGGACAGCTCCTGGAATCCCAGCTGGGCAGGAGTTCCAGGACTCTCTGTCTTCTCTGGGTCTCTGAAGATTTTTTTTTTCGGTTCTGCAAAGATCTTTACTGGACAGTTCCTTCCAAGGTGGGACAAGTCAGCCACAGGTCTGCAGCCAGGCACTGCACTGGCCTCCCCGATACCTCAGCTTGAACTCAGCATGACACAAGACTGCCCATGGCCAGCAGAGCTGGACGGTGGGCTCCAGCAGTCACTTCTCCAGGGGCGCATAGTTAAGCAGCTTTTCAATCAGGTCCACTTGTGCTAGCAGCATACGGTGACAGCAGTAGCGCTTCAGTCCCAGGGCATCCAGGGCATCCCCTTGGTGAACTGCTTGCAGCAGCCCCAGGTAGGCTTCCCATTTGTTGCCCACGATCTTGCCGGAGGTGAAGCTGCGCACCGGGATAACCATGGCGGCGTCTGGAGCGCGGACTCCTGCAGCCGCTCCCTCAGAAGCTTTTATACAGTCTTCTACTCACACCTCCCCTTGGTGACCCCAGCGCCCAACCACAATCAGCCATTTGATTGGATGTCTGAGCCGCCACCCTGTTAATCCTACATGGAACTCTTTCTTTCTCCAGATGAACTGAATCAGCTCCCTGAGTGAAAGCAAAAACAGAGTAGGGCTGGAGAGATGGCTTAGTGGTTATGAACACTGGCTGTTCTAGCAGATGACCTGGGTTAGAATCCCAGCAACCACATGGTAACCAACAACTGTCCAGAACTCCAGTTCCAGGGGATCCAGCACCCTCTTCTGTCCTCAGTGAGCACTGCACAACGTGGATGCACTTAACACATACAGGCATAACACTTATACACATAAAATAAGAATAAATAAATCCCCAAAAATAAAAAAATTAAAAAACTGAGAGTAGAGCAGGGGCGTAGTGGCACACGCCTTTAATTCACCACTCAAGAGGATGAGACACCAGCGAGGATGAGACACCAGCAGGAGGATGAGACAGTATATCTGTAAGATTCAGGCCAGTCTGGTCTACAATAGGGAATTCCAGACCAGCTGGGGGTAAGAAGACCCAGAGTCAAAAAGAACCCCCCCCCAAAAAAACCCAGCATACTAAGGTGAAAGTCAAAACCCCATTCCCTGAATTCACTCAACATTGAATTTTATTTATTTAACTACTTGTTTATGTACTCAATTTTGGATTTCTTTTTTTTTTTTTCCCAGACAGGGTCTTATAACAAAAGCTGATTTGGAACTCAAACTCTCAGGAATTCTCCTGCCTCAGCTTTCATCATGTGAGGATTGCTGATGTGAGCCAGCACACCTGGGTGAATTTTATTCATATGCGACCAACAGAGTTCTGAGTGTGAGTCAGCAAGGAGTTTAATCTGTTTCTGACAATAGATATAAAAAAATAAAATGAATATGTTCTGAGATTCAATGGCTGAGCTGGACACCAGACTTCTGACTTCAGAGGCCGAGGCAGGAGGATGGCTTGAGTCCATTAAGATTGTGGCAGCATTGATGGAATGAAGCTTAGTTGGTAGAGTGCTGCCCAGAAATTCAGGAAGTTCAATCTCCAGCACTGAATGTACTACACATGGTGGGGCATTGCCTGTAATCCCAGAACTCAAGTGTTAGAGGGCAGGAGTATCAGTTCAAGTCCTATTCCACTGCATAGCAAGCTTCAGGACAGCTGAGCTACATGAGATCCTTTTCCTAAAGCAATGAAAACAGAAAACAAGCAAACATGGCTTTGAAGACGGTACACCCTTGATTCCTCAGAAGGCAGACTGTGTTCAGAATGGATCCGAACAGCATAAAGGCTAGAATAATGAAATCAAAAAGTAGAGCGACTGGGTATGGTGGTACATGGCTTTAGAACCAGCACTCAGCAGAGGCAGTAGATCTCTATCAGATCAAGGCCAGCCTGGTCTACATAGTGAGTTCCAGGCCATCTGGAGCTAAAGGAAGATACTGTCTCAAAAAAATAATAATAAATAATAAAAAGAATGGGAGCTGAGGGGAACGTGAGATGCCTCTGTGGGAAATGGGACTTGCCAGCATTCCTGACTACCTGAGCTCCATCACTGGGCCTCACATGGTAAAAGGAAAGAACAAACACTGTTCATCTTATGACCTCCACATTCACTTACACACATACACACACACACACACACACACACACACACACACACACACACACATGGCAGGGGAGACAGAGAGAAAGAGAGAGACAGAGATACCTTACTAAATAAATAAATGTAAAAAAATGGAATTTCATGGTAGAGGCACAGACTTATGATGTCAGCATTCAGAAACTAAACAAGGAAGATTTCATGTTTGAGCCTAGCCTGAGCTACATAGTGAAACTGTCTCAACCAACTAGCAACAATCCGGCTGAACTCAATGTCAGAGAATAGCTTGACATTCGGACCCTGGGAGTAGGTGACAGAAGTCTGGAAGGCTACAAGTTGGGAATTGTGGCTCCCTGAGTGTGGGAGAGCAAACAGCGAGGACTGCGTCCTTGGCACCATGCTGGGGGCATCTGCAGTCTTTTCCTTCTCATTCAGGGGTCTTCCTACATGGGTTGTTTCTCAAGCAACCTTGAAACCCAGTCAACATCTTCAGCCCTTTCATTTATAAGAGCATTATCTGAGGTCCAAGGAAATGGTAAAGATATTCAGACAGCTGCCCATGCCATTTAGGAATTGAAGCAAGAAGATCTGTGGAAGTCCACAGCCAGCCTGGGGAACTGAGTATGACCTTTCCTCAAAATAAAAGGTAATTACATAAGGGTTTGGGATATAGAACAATGGTAAAGGGCTTGCGTACATGCACTGACTCTAGGTTCAATTCAACGTGCCACAAAGAGAAATTATAGATATAGAGATAGATAGATGATAGATAGATAGGATAGATGATAGATGGATGGACAGATAGATAGATAGATAGATAGATAGATAGATAGATAGACAGATGAATAGATAGGTGGATAGGTAGATGATAGATGATAGATTGATAGATGATAAAGATGATAGATGATAGATAAATGATAGATGATGGATGGATGGATAGATAGATGGATGAATAGATAGGTGGATAGGTAGATGATAAATAGATGATAGATAGATTGATAGATGATAGATGATAGATGATAGATAGATAGATAGATAGATAGATAGATAGATAGATAGATTATAAAGTCAGAAAGCAGCCCAGGAGGCTATTATTATTATTATTATTATTTTATATTATTTGTAATGGCAACAAAAACTGAGAACCTCTCACAGGCTAGACGATGAATCTGTCACTGTGCTATGTCTCCAGTCTTCGCTCAGCCCCTTCAGGTAGGGATGAAACCCAGTGCCCAATACATGGGAAGCAAGCACAATTACACAGATATCTATCCCCACCCTTCAGGCAGGTTGCTATCTTTTATTTCAAGCAAAAGGTTGCTACCTTTTATTTCCTGTTAAGATTTTTAGGCTGGCTTTTAACTTATGATCCTACTGCTGGTGCTAGAGGCATGGCTCAGTAGCCTGACAACCTGAGCTGCATCCCTGGAACCCAAACAAAGCTGGAAGGAGGGACCTAACTCCACAGTATTACTGTTGCTAAATGCAACTTGGTTTCTGCTAACTTCCATAAAACAAACTAAATGTGAAGACCTCTTCAACAAGTCCGGTATGAACAGGACTAAAACTTAGAACTGACCTGATTCTCAAGATAATACAGTTTCAAAAAGAATCCTATTGTAATTTATACCTCTTAGAAAGCAAATTGTGAGGTAATTTAACCTGACAGAAGTCCAAATCACAAGCCTATGGCACACTGTGAACACAAGACAATATTTTGTCCTTCCCAGAGAGTTTCACATTTTGCTCTGAAGACCACTTCCCACAGCCCAGTATGTTCTTAGCAGGTGCAGTAGGTTTCTTTCCCTGTGATCAGTCTCACAGCAGTTCGCTGCAGAGAGGAGGAGACACTGTAGCAGGTGTTCATGTCATGCTCTCACAGCGACTCTCCATCTTCACATGCTGCCCATTTCTTTAAGACAATGGAGGGACTCCCGGCAGGGCTTCAGAGATCAGGAAGTTCGCTTCAGAGATCAGGAAGTTCCATAGGGAGGGGACCGCATCTACTGCATCTTCTGGTTCCTCTCTTCCTGGTCCAGCTTGGGCATAAACCCCTTGATCTGGCGGCTCTGTGTCAGCAGCTTGGAGCTACTGTGCCTGCTCTCCACTCCGAGCATTCCTTTTCTTTTTTATTTTTTGGAGACAGGATTGCAGTGCTAAGGCATTTCTTTATCTTCAGACATGACTCGCTATGTAGACCTTGCTGGTCTCATACTTGCAATGAGCCTCCTGCCTCTGCTCTGTGCTGGGATTATACATGCGGTGGCCACACTGGAATTCACTTTGTGGAGATGCTGTCTTCCTTACTCTGGCCTGGCCGTCTGTTACATAGCATTTGTGTGTCTGCTCAGTGGGTTATGTGCACAAAGTTATCAACCTTAACTGAGCCCTTCAGACCTCCTGTGAGGGAGGTTTTGAAGAATGGCGGGGGCTTGCATTCCAGGATACTTAGTCTAGGGGGCGCTGTGGGCATCAAAGACAGCTGAGGCAAAGGAGAAGACAACACAGAGCGAAGGGAATGGGATCCAAGTCACCTCGTTGCTCTCTTCTTTTTCTTCCTTTTTTCCCCCGCCTAGGCTGGCCTTGAACTACTCATTTTCTTCCCTCTGTCCTCTGAGTGTAGAGATTATTGACATGTACCACCACGCTCAGCTTGTAAGCCACATGTCCTTAGATCCATGCTCTTCAGGGCTTCCAGCCTCCAGCTGGCTACCTGTTCATAAAGATCTTCAGTAGATGGACCTAAGAACCTCTCCTGTCATAAGGATTGACTACACCTCAGGATTGGATTATTACTGCTCAATTACTGTGATATTTGTTTTCTTTTTCTTAAGAGAACTCCTTAGCTTAACCAATATACTGCCTTGTGTCTGTATAATCAAGTAAGAATAAAATAATTTTCTATCGCACCCTTTATTTTCTACTTCATTGGCATGCTTATTTAAAGTATGGGTAGGAGGGGCTAGAGAGACGGCTCAGCAGGTAAGAGCACTGGCTGTTCTTTCAGAGCACCAGTGCTGTTTCCCAGCACTCCTATGGCAGCTGTAACAGCTGTCCAAAAACTCCATGTCCTGAATAGTGTGTTACCCATGTATGGCAATATGGGTGACTTTCAACTGTAATTTCCTTCTGTGTTTGATTTTGGTTTTGGTGTTAGGAGACAGAATCTCTTATAGCCAAGCTGGTCAGAAACTCACTATAGCTAAGGATGTCCTTGAATTCCTGATCCTTGTGAGTCCATCTCCCTAGTTTTGGGTTTATAGGTCTGTCCTCTCATGCCCATATAAAACATAATTTTTAAATTTTTTTTTT